CTTTACTGTTGTCCTATAAAAACCTCACTTCTCCAGGATTGTTTTAGATCCCAGCGGGCTTATAAAAAAGCCATTGACTCCCTGTAGTAAAAACCCACTTTAAACAGTGTGAGGAGGTGGGGCTGGGGGGTGGAGGGTGGGGGGGGTTGTATTTATGGCACAATAAAGTGAAAGAGCCGACGGACGGACGGGGGGGGGCATGTCTGCAGGGCTGAAGGAGTCAGGCCTCATGTGTTCATCACATGCTACATAAACCTCTGCAAAGGGCATTTTCTGATACTACTGTGACTGTGTGAAGGGTCAGAGGTCACGCTGGGGGAGGGTCACCTCATGATGTGTGTAAACACCACAGACGACAGAAACAAAGTATTTTTCAGGTCTGGTGATATTTGATATTTTTATTTTGTCGACAAATTCTCTATTTCCTCCTGATGACAAAATCTACAGTGAACAGCTGTTTTATTAAATGAATGAGCCTTTTTTAAATGATTACACTGAAATATAATCGAAATCACAGCAGCTGCAGTTGTTTTAATAAAGGTTAAAACGAGTTGTGCATTGTTAGCATTAGCATTGTGAGCACCATCAGTGTCGTGGTGCGACAGGTCAGACCAACAGAAATCACATCATCATTTTAAACGACCATTCCAACTGAAATCTGCCAAAATGATCTCAATTGTTTTTTATTTTTCATATCGTGCAGCTCTTTAATCGACTACTGTTCTTTAATGGAAACTAACTGTGTATGAAATTTCACTTTATTGATCATTTTCTCCTGAAGAAAGAGTCGAACTTTGGTCCCAGCTCTGAGCTCTGCTGTGCTGATCTGTGCTTCCTGAGTGTTGAGCTTCCTGCAGCCGCCGTCTGCTGCTGCTGTAAATATTGATCCGTGCGTGTGTGTGTGTGTGTGTGTGTGCTCGGTTGTGGAGCCGCTCCGCTGTTTACCAAACCTTATCTGTACACACGCTGATTCAATTCACTGCTGATTGCTCTGTGCTGGTTCTGAGACCGCCCCGAATTTACAGCCCGCCGGGTGTTTTTCCATCAGGTGTGGATGGAAACCTGCGGTGTTAAAACTTTAATCCTGCAAAGCTTCATGTAAGAGAAACTCATTCTTCTGTCTGCTGTGTTTGAATCAACAGACACAAGATTCACTGTGTCTGTATCTGAGGGTGTTTTTCCCGCCCTGTACGCAAACAGCTCAGAGACACTGAACCGAAGGAGGAGTCTCTGCTTCAGCGAACAGTCGCTGCGTGTGTGATGATAACACGGTGACAACATGGCAGCAGCAGCTTTCATTAACAAGCCAAAGAGCTGCGTGTGAGACATAAAGACGAAGCAAAAATCAATAAACACATAAACAGGTTTTAAAAAGAGTGACATAAAACAGAACAAGACAAATGACACAGGAGATTAAAAATGACAGTGCAGCCGTGAAAGATATGAACAAATAATCCCAAATTTAATTTTAATAAAAGACAGTGGAAAGAGAGAAGACAGAGACAAAACCCAAGGCAAAAGAAAATCATGGGATTATTAAAACTGGACAGTAAAAGAAAAATGTGAGTCATCTGAAAACCTGCTCAGGATCAGAGGGTAGAAGAAGAACGAATAGATAATGAAGATGAGGATGAAGAGGATGGAAAACAATGTTAAAAGTGTGTGTGTGTGTGTGTGTGTGTGTGTGTGTGTGTGTGTGTGTGTGTGTGTGTGTGTGTGTGTGAGAGAGAGAGAGAGAGAGAGAGATCTCATGGATCATTGAATCTTGTGTCCCTGGCGGCATTTTTCTGATTATCCACTGAGCATCCTGTTATTATAGCTTTGTGTGTGTGCGTGTGTGTGTGCGTGCGTGTGCGTGTGTGTGTGTGTGTTGATGTGTAATGATAACATTAACATAACAGCCCTGTATGCTTCTTTTTCCTCCTCCTCTTCCTCAGGTGGAGGACGAAGCAGAACCTGGACTACTGTTTCCTGATGATGTACGCTCAGTCTAAAGGAACGTACTACGTCCAGGTAGGAACAACGACGCTACGGAAACTTCACTTTAAAAGCCTGACGCTCTTTTATTATATATGATCATTTTATGTTTTTGTTGAAATTAAATCAACGCTGAAATGAACCGTTTGCTTCTTCCTCCATCATGTGGCAGGAGGAAGGAAACAGTTCATGTTTATCAATAATCATGTGACCCCTGAAAATCTTCCAGTGACCTCTGGAGGGTCCGCCGCTCAGGTTGACCCTCATATTTCTTCACATGTGATTCTTAAGGAGGCAAATCTGTCAATATGACAAACGAGCCTGACGGGCTTTTAATGTGAAACATCTGCAGGAAGTGATGAGCTGAACAGTGTTCTGTATTTACTGATGTTTTATCTCAGTGTATATAAATGTATCTGCAGCTTTTTGCCGCCGTCTGAACGTCTTCATTACCTCACAGGTTTTTAACTTTAACGGACTCACCTGGCTGAATATATATAAATCAATATTCCCATAAATATTATCGACAGACACGTGACCTCGGTCTCCTCCACGTTCACTACCACAGTAAATAAACCGACTAAAGGACGAGGACGGAGGAGCTGGATGTGGGACACGGCTGATGTCACAGAGTCTAATGAAGCAGGATGGCCATTAAAGTGAAGAGCGAGCGTGATGTAATTCTGCTGGTGTGCAAGGCTGATGAAACTGTTGCATTGTGGGTGGACTGACGGGGACGTTAATGGAGACGTCTCAGTGGCTTCATCAAAGACTCTTTGTTCCCTTTAAAGATGAAAAGAAGAAGAAGCAGGCAGCAGACTGTGTCTTCCTGTTCCTGCTCAGCAGAGTCTGAGGACTGGACCCTGTGAGGACCTGGTTCTGGTTCTGGTTCTGCTGCTCAAAGAGTTTACGTGTTTATTTAATTCATTTTTCAGAAACCAGATCTGATCAGGAAAATAATGATAATAAAATCAATAATTCACCTCCTCCTTCGTCCTCTCCTGCAGAAACAGCCTGAACTTTTCTGTCTCAGCTGTTAAATCTTCTCCGTCCAAAGAGACGCTCAGAGCTGCTGACGCCGTCCTGACAGTTACTGAACAACTGCTGAGGAGAGAAGAACAACAACCAGCAGCTGAAGTTATTCCCTGAGGCCTGTTGCACAAAACACCTTAAGTTTTCTACTGAAGTCTGACACTTAGCTGAGGGAGGTACTTAAGGGTGTTCCACAGAATCTCTTCAAAGGTTTCCTGAGTGAAGGAAAAACATGAAGGCCTTTGCGGCAATGTAAGAGATTTTACAGCAGTAGAATTCTACTGTTTCCATGGCGACCTGTATGAAATAAACGTCATAAAAATTATGTTTTCATTCATATTCATGATTTAATAAATGTATTTATAAATGGTTTATTTAATGAGTGTTTATGTTTTAAATCTGAAGTTTTTATTGATGATTAATGGTTCATCTATAAATTCTTTTTACAAATCTTATTTTTAATGTTTGTTCAAGCAAGAAATCAGGGAAATATTTTATTCCCCTGTGACATCACTGGTCCGCCATAAAGGAAAATCTTAACTTAAGGTTCTCTGTGCAGCTGGTTTCAGGTTCCTCTGGTTCCACGTTCCTCTGGTTCCTCTGGTTCTAGGTTCCTCTGGTTCTAGGTTCCTCTGGTTCCACGTTCCTCTGGTTCTAGGTTCCTCTGGTTCTAGGTTCCTCTGGTCCCTCTGATTCTAGGTTCCTCAGGTTCTAGGTTCCTCTGGTTCCTCTGGTTCTAGGTTCCTCTGGTTCTAAGTTCCTCTGGTTCTAGGTTCCTCTTGTTCCTGGTTCCTCTGGTTTCTCAGATTCCTCTGGTTCTAGGTTCCTCTGGTCCCTCTGGTTCTAGGTTCCTCAGGTTCTAGGTTCCTCTGGTCCCTCTGATTCTAGGTTCCTCAGGTTCTAGGTTCCTCTGGTTCCTCTGGTTCTAGGTTCCTCTGGTTCTAGGTTCCTCTGGTTCTAGGTTCCTCTGGTTCCTGGTTCCTCTGGTTTCTCAGATTCCTCTGGTTCTAGGTTCCTCTGGTCCCTCTGGTTCTAGGTTCCTCTGGTTCTAGGTTCCTCTGGTTCCTCTGGTTCTAGGTTCCTCTGGTTCTAGGTTCCTCTGGTTCTAGGTTCCTCTGGTTCCTGGTTCCTCTGGTTTCTCAGATTCCTCTGGTTCTAGGTTCCTCTGGTCCCTCTGATTCTAGGTTCCTCAGGTTCTAGGTTCCTCTGGTTCCTCTGGTTCTAGGTTCCTCTGGTTCTAGGTTCCTCTGGTTCCTGGTTCCTCTGGTTCCTCAGATTCCTCTGGTTCTAGGTTCCTCTGGTCCCTCTGATTCTAGGTTCCTCAGGTTCTAGGTTCCTCTGGTTCCTCTGGTTCTAGGTTCCTCTGGTTCCTGGTTCCTCTGGTTTCTCAGATTCCTCTGGTTCTAGGTTCCTCAGGTTCCTCTGGTTCCTCTGGTTCCATGTTCCTCAGGTTCTTCTGGTCTAACGTTCTTAGAAAGGTTCTTGATTGTTTGGAAAGTTCCTGAAGTGGAAGCAAAGACACGGAGGTGGAGAGAGGCTGATGATTGTCAGACAGGTGATATCAGCGACACCTGGAACACCTGAGTGTGTCGTCGGTGTAAACGAGCAGCTCAGACACAAACTGTTCGCAGACAGGAAGCAGCTCGCTGATCTTCACAGTCGAGACTTGACATGATTCAAAGGATGAAGGTGTCTGCTCCTCCTCCTCGCTGTGATCTGTGGCTCTTTACGTGCAGGGCCGATGTGATGTGCGGCTTTGTCCTTGAACGCAGCTCTCCCCGCCGGCGCCAACACTGGGTTATTTTTCTGGCTATTTTCCAGTGATGGAGCAATCTCCCCGCCATCATCTCTGCTGGCGGCGGCGGTGACGAGGCCTCGGCTGCTGCTCCCACACCGAGCGCTTTGACAGGAACACACAGTCACACTCGCTGTTTTGACGCCTCGACTCACTCTGAACTTGTGTGCGGTGACGGGGGGGGGGGGG